TTTTACTAAGTATTTTAACAATGAAGCTATGTCATTTGCAGGAAATTTGATGTGACTAGATTATCATCATGTAAAGCAAATTGAGATAGTGACATTCAAAAAGAAAGTGTCATCTGTTTTCTCTCAGATAAAAATTTCACAACAATCCAAAATGCTAATAAAGTACCATGATAAAAAATGTTATTAATGTACTCACTCATATATGGATTTTAGACATAAAGCAAAGGATCACCAGCCTATAATTCATAGCACCAGAGAAACTAGGATACAAGGAAGAATCTAAGAGATTCATACAAGGTCCCTCATAGAAGGGGAAAGGAACAAGATCTCTTGAGCATATTGGGAGTGGGAGGAGGGCATTGAGTGGAGAGGGAGCTAGGAAGAAGAAAGAGGAAAGAGAGGAAAGCATATGGGACTAGGAAGGTTGAGTCAGGGGAGGAATAGACCAAAGAAGAGAGAGAGATACTATAGAAGAGGGAGCCATTGTAGACCGAATAGACAAGAGGGTAAAAATAAAAAGAAAGAAAGAAAGAAAGACAAAAGAAACATAATGGAGGGAGCCATTTGAAGAGAAAACTGACTCTAGAGAAATGTCCAGAAACCTACAAGACTGACCCCCAACTAACAATCTGAACAACAGTGGAAAGGCTACCATAAATGCCCTTTCCTGATAATGAGATTGATGACTAACTTATCCACCATCATAGAGCCCTCATCTAGTAGCTGATGGAAACAGAAGCAGACACCCACAGCTAAACACTGAGCTGAACTGGAATCCAGATGCAGAGAGAAAGAAGATCAGGCTACAGAAACACACAGAGACAGCTGACCTGAACAAGGAGGAGCTAATGCCCCCCCCCAGACTGATAGCTGTGAAACCAGTATTTGCCCACTCAGACCCCCCAATCATGGGTCTCAGTTTGAAGGCCTGGGCAGTCTAAGGGACCAGTGACAGTGGAACCAGGATATATCTGTGGTGCACAAAAGGCTTTGGGAGAAATTCCCCATGGAGGGATACTCCCTTAAGGTATAGGCAGGAAGGAGAGCCTAGACCCTACTCCAAATGACTTGACAGATTTTGTTGACCCCTCCTGAAAGGCATCACCCTACCTGTAGAGTGGGGGGAATGGGATGGGAGGGTGGTCGTGGGCATAGGAGGGTGGGAGAGAGGGAGGGAGGATGGGAGAGATGGGAGGAAGGAGGGAGGGTGCAAGGGAGGGAGGGAGAGAGAGAGGGAGAGAGGGAGGGAGGGAGAGAAGGAGAGTTAACTGGAATTGATATGTGAAATAGAAACATAAATAAATAAAAAATAGATAAATAAAACACAAAACAAAAAAGAGTTATTTAATCCCTAAACTAATTTCTTCTCACCAGAGAAGAAAATATATCAATTTACCTCATATTTTTATTACTTACTGCTTCACTTGTGGCTGTGAAGATGACAACAAAATTTATCCTGCTTTCCTCATGATTGAAATCAATCATGGAAAAATTAAAGGAAGAAATAAAATCTCAAATTCTTTGTGTAATTAGAATATATGAATGAATGCACCCTAAAATGGAAGCAAGACTATATCCTGTGATAGAATATGACATAATTGACAGGGAAAAATTCAAGTTTAGTCTATATCATCTGTAGCAAAACATTTTTTAATGTCCTTAGTGAAGGAATGTAAGGTAGCAACTGCACCTGCAATTATCAATGGAATCACTAGGATAACATACATGTTTGAGTTTGTTGATGAAGCCTGAGTTCAATGATAATAGTAACGTATTTGAAGCCTGTTTCGTGGAAGAGACCTGACCAGGATTTTTCATGATACTAACAGAAGATACCTACAGGGATGAAACTGGAATAGCAAGTATAAACAGGGATAGCATCTGAGAAGGATAGAAGTTTACCCCTGAAAATTTTGAACATACCATTATGTCAGCCAACAGAGGGCACATGCATAGCTGTCTGCCTAAGTATCTCCCTGACTTACCCTTATAGGGTCTGATAAGTCATGGTTGGAGGAAATTGACGATTTCATATGAAGCAGGTTTTATTTCCAGGCCTAGACAGCAGTATAGATAACTGAAATGAGAATAGAAAAAAGCCATATTTCAAATTATATAACACCTAGTCTCCTGTTCTTTCTCTACCATGACCTAACTTTATCAACCAGGTGAGACAGACATTGCTGGATGAATCACACCAGTATGTCATATCAGCAATCTCAGTGATTGATGTCTTTAGTTTGAGGGTCGGCCACAAATCATGTAAAAAGGAAATGGCTGAGAACATACAAACAATGAAGATGAAAAACTTAATGAGATTTAAGTATGATGGTACAGAGGTAATCCCAGAAACAGAGGTGGGCTGATTGCCTATTTAAGTCCACCATAGGCGTCAATCAAAGTATTGTCTCAAAACAAATCCCCTAACAATGCTAATTTTTATTAAATGTGAGCAAACAAGATTAGGTCTATACCTGTTATACCAGATATCCAGAGTTTTGAGAGTTCAAAATCGACTGTACAAAGAAAGTTCCAGGCAGCCTGAGAACATAGTGATACAAGGGATTGGAATGATAGGGAGGTGAGGGTGAGAGAAGAGGTGGGGTAGGAGAAGAGAGGAGAGGGGAAAGGAAAGAAGGGTGGAATGGGGGATGGGGAGGGAGAGGGGAGCAAAGGAATAGAGTGGTAAGTAAGTGTTGAGAGATGAGTTAAGAGGAGAGGTGACATAGGAGAAGAGTGGAAGAGAGAGGAAGAAATGAGAGAAATGGGGAGAGGTGGGAAAGGAAGAAGAGGGGAGCCAAAATAAGGAAAGATATAGATGAGGAAGGAGAGGGGAAAGTGAAGAAGAGGATGAGGGAAGTTGAAAGGAACACTAGGAAGAAGTGAGGAAGTGAATAAAGGGAAGGCGAAATAAGGAGTGGGGAGTGGAGGAGGGGAGGAGAGGTTAGGCTAAAGGAGGGAAGGGAAGTAGGTAGGGAAGGGATGCGATTTTAGAGGAGGGTGGGAGAGAGGTTAAGAGGGGTGGGAAGGGTAGAAATAGGCTAGGAGAGGTGGGAAGTGAAGGAGAATTTAGGCTGAAAGGAGAGGTGGGGAGGGAGTAGAGAAAGTGAGAGAAGGGAGGGAAGATGAGGAGAGTGGTAGGAGGGGGAGATGAAGACACTGGCCAAGAGAAAACCATAGCAGATGGGAGGAGCGAGGAGGGAAGGGGAATGCAGGAGATGAAATTAAAACTAAGAGCAGAGGTAGAACAGGGCTCAGTAAGAAAGAACAAAAACTAGCTGGGAAAGACAAGCATAAGTCCTAGGATCCTTCCTTATGGAACAGAAGAAAACAGAGGGTTACCCATGGAGTTTTATTTATAGGACCAGAGGAACAGAATGGGAGAAGTTGAAGATCACAGAATGGGAGGACTTGGAAGTTGAAGAATGGCTTAACTCCGTGGTTCTGTTTATATGTAAATAGGACGAGAATAGGCAGGACCAGAAGTTAAAGATGACTTCACTTTCTAATTTTGTTTATAGGTCCACATGAACAGAATGGGAGGGACCAGAAGTTGTGAGAATGACATCACTTACTAGCTGTTTATAGGTTCATGGGAACAGAATGGGAGGGACCGGAAGTTGCAGGTTACATCACTTCCTGACAGTGATCCCAGCTTGAGAAGCTCGGTGTCCGGTAAGCTTCAGAGATAGCTCCTAGGTATTGCTGGGTTTTGGGGTGGGTAACCTGCTTTAAAATTGTCACAACTTCAAATCTTCTACTCTCCTTGTCCCATTACCCACCCCTTCCCCGAAAAACTCCGTTTCGCTTGGTGCCCAGTGTGTAATTATCGCTAGAGTTTTTAGGTCGACACGGCAGTTATACCCAGATCCTGTCTCCTTTTCTGCTGGTCTCATAGAACCAAGGCCCTGGCAAGAAGCCGTTGGACTTAGATAACAGAATCAGAAATATCAGGCTTTAAGGGGCCAGAGCGAAGCCAGTCTTGAATATTCCATGCTCTGGAGCTGGGGGGGCGGGCCTACGCAGACCGCTAAGGCTTTGTGGTGGCCTAAGTGGGTCGGTTTTCATGGGTCTCTCTGTTCCTGTACAGTGGCCTAAGTGGGTTTGTATGGGTACATGCCTCTACCCTGGTATGGTGGCCTTAGTGGGTCTGTATTCACAGGCTTCTGACCCTGTAAGGCGGCCTAAGTGGGTCTATATGAACATACCTCTGCCCCTATGGGGTTCTAAGTGGTTATGTATGGACATTGGCATCTGTGTCATATGCTGGCCTAAATGAGTCTGCACAGCCACAGTATTCCACCCCTGTATAGTGGTCTAAGTGGGTCCAATTAAGACTAAAGACTGAAGGGCTCCTTCACTTTCCCTCAAGAAAGTAAAGCAATAATAGTTTCATTGTAAGTGCCTTACCTCGCTGCCACAGAAAGCTAGACATCATACCTAGGTCAGGTAAAGCCAGGGTGAGGACTTTAATCATCATGGAAACAACACTCCTTGTAACAGCAATATCCTTCAAGTATCTCCATTTTTACTATTGCTGAGTCCCCATTGCCACCTGAATGACTTAAGTGGGAAGAAGGGCAGATTACATTTCTACCTGAGTGATACTGAAGGAGTCTGGAGTGTTATCTTGAGAAGAGCAAAAGGAAATGGGCACACAGAGTTTGCCAACAATAGATATGCTTGATTGTGAATGTAAAGTCGGGGGATTCTTGAGTCTTAACATACTCTTGGACCCTGAAACTAGACTTTCATGCAGTTCTCTAACAAGTTTTAATTTCCTCCACAGGATTTGCAGAATAGAGATTTACCCACGAAGATAGGAGAAGATAGGAGGCCTGGTATGTTCCTCCAAAGATGCCGATCTGGAAAGCTGCAAAAGCAGGTCTTTGTTAAATTAAAGGTATTCTCTACTTGATAGTACTGTGGTGCTTACAGGTTGTCATTGTCACCCTTTCAGATTCCTGCCCTGTCAGCCTATCAGCTCTCCTGCTTCATCTCTGAATCCAGTCATCATGCCTAGGGGGCAAAAGAGTAAGAATCGCTCTCGTGCAAAACGACAACAGGCACGTGGTGAGCTCCAGGGTCTCCCAGCAGTTCACCACACTGAAGAGGAAGCAGCATCTCCTGTTGACCAGAGTGATTGCTCTGACTTCACTGATGGCCGTGCTCTACAGGGGGTGAAAACCCCAGGATCTCTTAGTGCAGCTGTGTCCTGCACAGGCTCTGGTTTAGGTGTTAGCAATGCTGTTGTTATTCCTGGTAAGCAAAGTTCAGATGCTACCCAGGCAGTAACCTCCATTCAGCACACACTTAAAGATCCTATCATGCGGAAGGCTAGTGTGCTGATAGAATTCCTGCTAGATAAGTTTAAGATGAAAGAGGCAGTTACTCGGAGTGAAATGTTGGCAATAGTAAACAAGAAGTTTAAGGAACAATTCCCTGAGATCCTCCGTAGAACCTCTGCACGTCTAGAGCTAGTCTTTGGTCTTGAGTTGAAGGAAATAGATGCCAGCACTCACTCCTATTTGCTGGTGGGCAAACTGGGTCTCTCCACTGAGGGAAGTCTGAGTAGCAATTGGGGTTTGCCCCGGACTGGTCTCCTGATGTCTGTCCTAGGTGTGATCTTTATGAAGGGCAATCGAGCCACTGAGCAAGAGGTCTGGCAATTTCTGAATGGAGTGGGGGTATATGCTGGGAAGAAGCACTTAATCTTTGGGGAACCTGAGGAATTCATAAACAAAGATCTAGTGCAGGAAAATTACCTGGAGTACCGTCAGATTCCTGGCAGTGATCCCCCAAGCTACGAGTTCCTGTGGGGTCCCAGAGCCTATGCTGAAACCACCAAGATGAAAGTCTTGGAAGTTTTAGCTAAGGTAAATGGCACTGTCCCTAGTGCCTTCCCCAATCTCTACAAGTTGGCTCTTAGAGACCAGGCAGGGGGAGCAAGAAGGAGAGCTCAGGGTAGGGCAGGTGCTGTTGCTAAAGCCAGGGTTCATTCCAAGGCTCTATCCTAGAAGTAGTTGAGTCTGTTCTATGGTTTGGTTTCCACATTGTTTAAAGAAGAGTCAGCCTCCTAATTAGTGGAGAGTTCATACAATACCAGAAGCAAAAGGTATATGTTCTTTTACTCATTAGTAAAATGTAGATGTTTTTGTTACTTTGCAAATGTTCCTTTAATTAAACAGTGATTTCTGCCATATTTTATGTTAGATGCATAAAATGGTCATTGTCACTTGTCAACTTAGGACTTGGTTTTATTACTTTGCAACAAACCGGAAAACCGTATTTTGTTTTTACTAAGATGTTAAGGTATCATTGCATTGCAAAAGGGAGTTTTGTAGAAATGTGATTTCATACATTGGTGAAAGAAAAGTAAAGTGGCAAATTTTTGTTATTTTTGGACATTTCATATATGATTGTTAACTTGTTAGCTGTATACATTTTCCTTTCTTGTCAATGCTAAGTAAAATAAAGTTGTATTTGATGACTTTACTAAAATTCATTAGGAAGTAAATTGTAAACTCTCAAAGTCCAGCTCCAGATAAGGGCAGGGTATGAAGATGGGTGGATACAAGAGCACTGATGGGAAGAATCTGACACGGGACACTTCTTAGTTTCATTTTAGGATAGAGATGGACAATGAGGAAACACATTCCCTGTAGAGATGGAGGTCCCAGCAGAGGATGTAAGGTGAGGGAAGGGAGTGATCCACGCCATGATAGTTGGGAGTATGTTTCAGCCTGACTGACTAGAAGCCAGAGTACTTTTTTATTTATACAGAATTTTGTATATAGTGATACATTCATTTTGTTCCAAAACATTGATCATATTATTTTCTGGATATGTGTTTCACTCCCTTTTGCTCTTCTTCTAGTCATTATTAATAAACTATTGCAGAACAGTTACCAGTTCCAATAATTTTCCCTCAAGTTTTAACATCACTAATAAAGAGTTACATAACAATTTTTATTCATCAACCTCATAACCCAATTTTTAAGAATCTAGAGGCATGTTACAGCCTGCTCACAGACTGGTAGCTTTTGTGGCTACAAGGACACCAAAACAAAATCTCCAAGCTAGTTTGGGCAGAATGCCATGACCCAAACTGTATTATTAACTCTTAATGGTTACAATGCCCAAGAAATATCCTCAGGCCAAAGCTGCTAATGTATTATTCAAATTCTGGCATAATACAATGTTTACATTTTATGAATTTATAGAACTTGTATAATCCTGGCGTTCTGTCATTCATGGTCATATGACAACACAGTGGCTCTGCATAAGATAACTCCGGTCCTGACATACTCTTTTATTATCTTTCTACTCCATTCTTTGTTCAATATAAGTCTCTGTGTAGGGGAGAGGTAGCTTGAGCTAATCTAACTTTGTTGCTGTATAAATCACATAATTGCCTGAATGTATAGTGGACAGAGGCTTTCAGTCTGAACTGTGACCAACTTCTCTGGCCCACTGAATCTTGTCCTTTTTTTAATTTATTTTGTTTTGAATATCTTGTTCCTGCATAAATACAGGGACAGATGTCTCAAGAGTGTCTCTGCCATAACTCTTGTTTAGATATTGTCTCTATAGTTATTATAATTCTACAAAGAGTAAAAGATTCCTAAATCTGTTTACTTTGCCTTCAGGAGGGTACCAAGGCCTGTCACTAACTTTCTACTTAAGAATCTTTTCCTTGTTCATACTCTTTTGTATTTCTGAGCAGAACACAAATTCCTAATGATTCAGTTTGTCAGCTTCTAAAATTTTCCTGTTTTTCTTCTTAAATGATTTGTTCCAGATCCTTATCTCATGTTCATTACTTAAGCAATAATTTCCATAGAAGACTCAATTTCTTATACAGCTAATCCTCCCAGGGAATCACCTTAAGTTGTGTCCTTAACATCAGGTTTCACAAGAATTGTTACATTGTCTCAGTTCTAGCCTTTAGTAAGGGGCCCTTAATGGCAAGGAATTTAAACCCTAAACACATTAAAGATAACAGGCAAGAGTTGTGCAGCAACTTCTAATAAGGCCAGTGAAGGGTCTATCCAAGTCGTCTAAGCACTGTGATCTTTGTCAAGCAGCAGTTCTGACATCGTCATTAAATCTCTATTACTTTTTCTTCAAGTATTTATTTTTAATTTTCTTTTCAAGACAGGGTTTTGCTAAGTATCTCTCTGAATGTCCTAGAACTCACTCTGTACAACAGGCTAGCTTCAAACTCAGAGATCTGCCTGTCTCTGACTCCCAGGTGCTGGTATTAAAGGCATGTGCTGCCAATGCTCAGCTGATTTTCAAGTTTTAATTCAGCATTGGTTCTCTGGAAGTTCCCTTCAATTGCACTGGATCTAGTAAGAAATATGTGGTATAGTGGCTAACAATGAGTTATCAGGGTCTAGAAGCAGCTATATAAAAGAAAAAGGTAATGCATTAGGCAAGATATAAAGGGCATGATATGAGAAACAGGACATTTTCTTGAAATGTAAGTGTAAATCACTTTGGAATATATTAGAATATGCAATTAAGATGGTGTAAATGAAGCAAAAAGAAGCTGAATGAGTATTGCTATTAATCTACATATGGGGCTGTTCTCTTTTAGTAGACAAATTACAGTTTGTACTTTGAATGAAGGGCTACCAGCCTCATGAAATGATTAACTAAATTATGCTTTTAAATATTTTACCACCAAAACATTGAGCCCTCAATTTAGAGCCACTGCAATTTCTTCAATGGGAAGAAAGGCTGCGTGGTGGCCTGGATAAGCATGTATGAATGGTGTGGATCAGACTCATATGATACTTCTGAGCACAGAAAAGATTAGGCCTAAACCAGGAAACAAAGCTTAAATGTTCTTTTGGAATTTGAAGATGCCACAAGGAAATCAACTAGGGCAAGGAGGGACAGTTAGTTCATTGTGCCAGTGCAGGTGAAATGTAGTACACAATCTGTACATAACAATATTTACAGGTTTTATGAAAACTAAGGTGATACTTGAGAAGAGTGATTAGGAAGATACTGAGTGTTCACTCAGTATACGCAGATAAAGCCAGCTTATGTTCCATTATTAGGGATTTATAACAAGTTACCATATTAAGTCTAAATAATTTCATCAGGGCTGAAGAGATGGCTCAGTGGCTAACAACATTAGCTGCTGTTCCAGAGTACCAAGGTTGGATTTCCAGCACCCACATGTTGGCTCACAAGCATCTGTAATTCCAGTTCTAGAGGACCCAATTCCTTCTGGCTTTCATGGACACTGCATGCACAGGATGCACAGATACACATTTAGGGAAAACATCCATAGAGATAAAAATTAAAATAAGTTTAATAAGTACCATTTTTAAAGACATAGTCTCTGACTTACATTGTGCCTTTTGAACTTTATCAAATTCAAAATGCAGTCAAAGAGTTTACAATTTCTGAAGTTATCAAGAATAGTACAATGCACAGCTTTGCTAATCGCTTAATCTAAATTTCTGAGAATAGAATTGCATTACTCCAAACTAGAAGCAGGCCTTGTGTCACTGATTCATTTTCTACCTATTACTTCAGAAATGTATTTCTGAAGATACATGTCTGATTTCTAGTCTAAAATACTGTTTTAAAATACAGAGGCCAAGGAAATTAGCAATGAAAATACAAAACATAAATGTGAAGTTTGATTAAAATGAGAGGCTGATGCAGGAGGATTGGGAGTTTGAGGCTAACCCAGAGGACCTCCTGGGATGCATAGCAAGACCCATCATAAAGGACTACATGACAAAGTAATTGCTTAATACTCAATAAAAATAAACATCAAAAGATTAGAGGTTCCCAAGCTTTTTTATATAAAGTAAGTATACTTATACAGAAATTCCCTAAGAGGTCACATCTGGATGGCAGTGGTAGGCATAGATCACTAGTTGTTGTGTATAACAGCACACCACCTGTCCTGAGATCTCATTTTACTATCACAGATTGGTTATGATGATTATTCTTGGAGTATGCCTGTCTCCTGTAGGGTCTACAGAGGCAAAATAACTAAGGGTTACAAAGAAATTGTAAATCTTTTAAGAAACATATTTAGTCAATCTTTAATATTACACGATGTATACATATAGTGAAATATCCCTACAATATCAATTTAATAAATACTATTTTTAGTTAAAAGTAATAAATACAATAAAGTGGAAAACATGAACCTCCAAACATTTAAAGTTAGGGCTTAGAGAGTGGACTGGAAGTACAAGCAGGTGAGAACCCCAGGGAGCCTGAAACTTGATGTCACCCCTGGAAAAGTACAGGTAGGTTTAGTCCATATGACACTGACTGACTTCTCTCTCTGGAGTCTTAAGGAAGAACAAAACTGGCCTGACTTTGAGACCAGAAAGTGGAGAGAAGTTTCCACTGTCTTTCCAATAACAAATGCAGCATGATGAGTGATACATTGAAAGTCAGCAATCTCAGAAAACTAAGGCAGTACAGAACCAGACTCTACCATGTGCACTGGAACAAATTGGGCAAGGCTGCCAGAATGGCTTTTGCAAAAAAGTTTACAGTAATACAAAGGCCTTACCAGGAGATTAGGAAAATTTAAAAAAACAAATAGGACACAGGTCTTATCAAGTTGGCCTAAATCAATATTTCAGTATAGATGACAGAGAGGCTCATAAGATAGACTCCTGCTAGCTGAGGAGCTATTGGCAACTGATGGCTGTTGAGGGTTAGAAGTTCAGTTTTCTTCATGGTTGTATACCTTGGTAGGTTGCCTATGCACTTCTGAACAAAAGTAATTGGACTAAGTGGGCTATAAAACAAACAAACACGAAAAAGAGGGGAGAATAACAGGTAGGCTGCCTGCACTTCTCCAGGTTTTCTGTTCTGTAAGATCCAATCCTTTAGTCTCATTCCTAGTGTTGCAACAGAACTCCAGCAGCAGCCTTCCCATAGCCCTCTCCACATCTCCAGAGGATCGCATAGATCATCCCCTCTTAATTTCCCTCCCTGCACTGGTTACTCTGTCTCAGTCGACAGA